TATAGGACAATTTATTTCCTTTCAAAGGTAGCACTTTTATTTTAATGGAAGATATCACAGTGAGAAGTGAAAAAAGATAAAAGCTGTCTCATGTCAAAAAATGAATCAAAAAAATTTGAGCAGTTAAATTTGAAAAATAATTCTATTTTCAACAGCTATGAAGTCAGAATACATGGAAAATTCTAGAGAAGAGTGCTTGGTTAAGTAAATTATTCACTTACTCTCCCATGGAGATAGTAAACAGTTTCATCATTTACTTCAATGATTTAATTGCAAAGGATAAATAGACATTTATTATTTTTACAAATATGGTTATGACATACTGTTTCTTTGCCAGTCAGTAAAAATCACTAGGGAATATAAATTTTGATTTTTTTTTTCTGACTTAGAATTCTTCCCATTAATGAAAATTAGTTCAAAGTTAGAGCATAATTAGTATCATTTCAAAAACAATGACATCTCAAAGAAATCCCTTTCATAACTTAAAGAGGAAGCTGTTTTGTTATTGTTGCTTAAGGGTTTTAATCTTTGCTTCTCGGGCTTTAGTAAATTACTAATGTTGTCCCTTTAACTCCTTAAAATTTTCTTTCGTTTAATTTTTTTTTTTAAATTAAGAGTACCTATTTTTGTTGTCGGTTTTATAAATTCTATATGGTATGAAATAATCATAGAGAAAGAAACAGGCTTTTTCTTTTTTTAGAAAAATCAAACTACTTTAATTCCAATTAGTAGTACTTAATTTATTTGAGAAGGAATTGAACTATTTATGTACTGTTTCTTTCCTCAATATTGTGGCATTTAATTAATTTCATAGGTAGGAGTAATAATGAACTAAGAGTATTTCATTCTATCTCCTAAATGTATCTGTTTTAGCCAGGACCTATCTTCTGTGGTTCTACCAGAATTAAGAAAATTTCAAGTGATTTTAATACATTTTTATACTGAAAATTGTAAGTCATTTAGGCTAGTACCACAGAGTTGACAGAATGTATATTTTACAGTTAGGAGACCCGACATTAGGTCCAAGTTCCTTTTCTTACCAGTTGTTTGACCTTTGGACAATTATTTGACCACTCAGACTCCTCTCTTCACTGCAATTGGACATCCACCACTCAAGTATGACTGGATATTGTGCTCCTTACTAAATCATTTAGAGGAACACAAGAAACAGTAGGAAGAACTGCTTTATAAAACTGAGAACAGCACACAAATGATGGAAGCTAATCATATTTTTTGCTCTTTGAAGTTCACATGAAAAATTACTTTTAGAAGTTGCAGAAGAAAACATAGGTTTCTAATCTATGACTCCCAGGAAGAGATTTTCAACTCTTTTCTTTGACATGTGAAACAAGATACTGAGACTCAACTTACTCTAATGATAAGTGTGGTTCATCAATGTTTTCACAATGCCACGTTTAGTTATTTATCATTTCTTCTCTAAATTCATTTCCATCCTTCAATTGTTTAGGTCAAGAGTTTTCTTTTCTCAAGGTCTGTGTCTATGTTTTCAATTTCTTTTTGTGCCTGCTCTCATTTGGGTTCATCAAAATATTCACCCGTCTTCAAACTCAAAGTGTTGTTGTTAGCTGCCATTGAGTTAGTCCCCACTAATGGGGACCCCATCACAATGGCATCGAGAACGTTATGAGCCATAGACTTTTCATTGGTTGATTCTTCAGAAGTAGATTGCCAGGCCTTTCCTCCTAGTCTGTCTTAGTCTGAGAGCTCCGCTGAAACCTGCTCAGCATCAGGCAACACATAAGCCTCCACTGACGGATGGGAGGTGGTACACATGAAGTGCATTGGCCCGGAATCACCCCCATGTCTCCTTGGAAGGCGAGAATTCTACCACTGAATCACCACTGCACCCCAAACTCAAAATATCACAGGTTTAATCTGGGTTTGTGATACAGAGTTTCTCTTTCTCACATTGCAGATCATTTTAGATTTAAGTTTCTTGTTGTGGTGGCTCATATTTAAATATACATCAAAGAAAATGGCAATGTTTATTTTCAATTTTGTTAACTGTGCCTAATCAAAAACCAAACCAAACCCCAAACCAATTGCCATCAAATCAATTTCAACTCACAGCAACCCTATAAGACAGAGTAGGAGTGCCCCCTTGGCGTTCCAGAGCTGTCATCTTTTACAGAAGCAGACTGCCACATCTTTCTCCCATGGAACAGCTGGTGGTTATGAAACGTCAACCTTCTGGTTAGCAGGCAAGTGCCTATCCTCTGTACAAGCAGGATGTCTAACTGTGCGTAGAATGCTACTATTCAAAGATCCGCTCTGATCTCCCACTGAATATCAGCCCTCTACTTCGTACTTTGGGAGAAAGAATGGGAAATCTATTCTGATAAAGATTATAGCCTAGAAAACCTTACGGGCTGGTTCTTTTCTGTCACATGGGGTTGCTGTGAGTCAAAAATCAACTTATAGGCACCTAACAACAACACTACAGGTATACCTCAGAGATATTCCAGGCCTGGTTCCAGACCACTGCATTAAAGCAAATATTGCAATAAAGTAAGTCATGCAATTTTTTTTTCAGTGCATATAAAAGTTATCTTTATACTCATTAACAAAGAATGGGTAACCAAACTATGGTACATACACACAATGGAATACTATGCAACCCTAAAGAATAATGTACAATCTGCAAAATACTGTATAACATGGATGAACTTGGAGGACATTAAGCTGAGTGATATAAGTCAATCACAGAAGGACAAATATTTTATGAGTCCATTATTGTAAAAAGTCAAGGGAATGTTAATATATGGAAGGAAATTTTCTTTGTTGGTTACCAGGGTGGAAGGAGAAGGGAGGAAACACTGCTGGATAGGTAGAGACAAATACTGATTTCAGTGAAGGGAAGGGCAATGTACCAAATGTGAGTGATCAACACAATGGCACTGAGGAAGAGGAAGACATAGAGAGGTGCATGGGAGGTACAGACAACAAAGATGAACCCTTCTGCACATACAGTACTGCATTATCAGTGAAGGCAAACATTGATATACAGGTGGATAGATGGGCGGACAGGCTGAATGATTAGGTATGTCTGTGGCGGAGAGTGTGCCCATGAACATATATAGGGTTGGCAGACAATGTTTCTACAAGTGTATTTATATGTTGTATAAGAATTTCCAGTTATATAGTAGAGCTGACAAGGGACAAGGTTGTAGTCATTTTTTGGCCACAGCCAGCTACTCAGAGGGAGTGAGAAGATGGACCTGTGGGCTCAGGACTATGACATCAAGCTCAATTAGCATAACATACTACACAAAAAACATTGTTCCACATCCTACTTTGGTGAGTAACGAGTGGAATCTTAAGAGCTTGCAAGTAGCCATCTAGATGTAAAAATGGGTCTCTCCTCATGCAGAACAAAGAAAAATGAAGAAAACCAAAGATGCATGGAAACAATTAGTCCAAAGGACTGGTACACCATGCAATCCACAACCTATATGACTATGAGACCAGAAGAACTAGATGGTTCCTGGCTACCACTGTCAATCATTTGGAGGGGGGTCTATGTTGGAGATCCTGGATAGAGTGGGAGAACAATGTGGAACAAGACTCAAAATCATAAAAAAGAAAAAAAAAAGGGGGGGACCAGGTTTGCTGGTTTGAAAGAGCCTAGTGGAACCCCTGAGACTATGGCCCCTAGCTGCCCTTCAGGTCTGGAATTGAACCCACTCCTGTAGCTTCCAGCCAAACAAAAGACAGGCATATGAGCTGAATATTTTACATTAGGTAGATACATTCCCTGAAGAGATCAATCAAGGGTTGTATATGCACAGGGAGACAGCTTTTGGGGCAGGAGTGCATGAGAGGGAAGGACACAAGGAAGAGGTAATGAAGGGGAGGAAGTGGAAGGGGAACTGTTGCATTATGGGAACTGCAGTCAATGTCATGAGACAAAGTGTATGTGAGCTGCCATATGGAAAGTGAATTTGTTCTATAAAGTTTCACCCAAATCACAATAAATTTTTTTAAAGTTATGTTTATACTGTAATCTATTAAGTGTGCAACAGCATTATGAAAAAGTTTGAAATATTGTTAGAATTACTAAATCGTGACACTGTGACATGAAGTGAGCACATATTGTTGTAGAAATCGTACCCATGGATCTGCCCTACACAATGTTGTTACAAATCTTCAATTTTTAAAAAATACAGTATCTATGAAGTACAACAGAACGGAGTGCAGTAAAATGAGGTATGCCTGTGCTTATTTTCCTCTCTCCTGACTTTGTGCTCACTATGTATTCCACCAAGAATACCTTTCTCAGCTGGTATGTGTCAATAACTCTAGTGCACCATTGAGGAGTCAATGCAGAAATCTCTTTGCTCCTCCTGTGCCCCATTCACACTTTTATTGGAGCAGTTGTCACACTCAGCTGTAATTACTTATTTACATTTCACTTTGCACCTCAGACCATTGTTCTGCATTGGAAGGGCCAAGTCCATGATTTATTTATACTTGTTTTCTAACACATAATAGGAGCTCTGGTAGCATAGTGCCTAAGGCATTTGACTGCTAACCAGAGGCTGGTGGTCCAAACCCACTAGCCACTCCTTGGAAGGAAGATGGGGCAACCTATTTCCATAGAGATACCACCTCGGAAACCCAAGGAGGGGTAGCCATAAGTCAGAACTGACTCACGGAAGTGAGGTTTTTTAAAAAACACATTGCCATTGTTGTTATATGCCGGTGAGGCAGACCCCGCTCATAGCGACCACTCCTTGGGTTTCTGAGGCAGAATCACTACGGAGGTAGATTATCCAGTGTTCCTTCCAAGGCGTGGCTAGTGGATTTGAACTTCCAGCCTTCTGGTTAGCAATCAAGTGCCTTTGGCACTATGCCACCATAATATTTCATAAATGCTTTTTAAATGGCCAAATGAATACATCTTACATTAGAAAGTATCTGTGTTTGTTGAAACATGTCAACAGGAAATAATATGGATTTTAATTTCATTTCTGTAGGATATGATCATCATGGCAGCTACATTGCTGATTCTTTTTGGGGCCATAGATGTATTGCAAGCAGACCTACTTCCTGATAAAAAATGTAAGAGGCTTTGATTCAATTCAAGATTGTCTTTTTTTCTCCATATATATATATATATATATATATATGTGTGTGTGTGTGTGTGTGTGTGTGTATATATATATAAAGAAGCCAAAGATTATTAGTGCTTACCACGGGTAGGAGGGAGGGGAAAGGGGAAGCTTTTGTTTGCAGGGCAAACAAACATGCTAATGGCAGTGGAATATGGAAAAGGACAGCAATAATGGCACAACATGAAAAATGTCATCAATATCCCTGAGATGTAAACGTGGAAGTTGTTACGTTGGTGAATGTCTTGGTGTGTATGTTTCCATCACGATAAATTTAATAAAAGATGAAAATTATATAAAAAAGGATAGCTTTATTTTCTCCTAAATAAACACAAAATTAAGAAATGGCACAGAGGTTAAGGCTGTTAACCAGAAGATTGGCAGTTCAAACCCACCAGCTGCTCTGCGAGAGGAAAATGAGACGATTTACTTCCCTACAGATTTACAGCCTTGGAAACCCTGTAGGTTGCTATGAGTCGGAATCAGGTCGATGGCAGTGAGTTTTATGTAGATTTTTAAAGGGATAGAATATTCTTATCAGAATAAAAACTCTGTGAAAATGCTATAATTTAAGAAAGTAAATTTGATTGAAAATTAATGTTTATGCTAAGTGGAAATCATATTCCAGGTGTGAGTGTGTAAGCACTATGGAATGAACCAGAGCTAATGGCCACATTTAGAAGGTCTATGCATGCAAGAGAATGGTTAGAAGATCTTAGGACCAAAGAATAAGTAATTTCCATAATATTTTGTTCAGAAACATGTTGATCTATGATTTTCGTGTGAAGACAGAGTTTAAGAAGAGAAAGCTGTCATATAGTCCTTATCTAGTGCCATCTAACAGATGGTACTAGATATCTGCACTGTCTGATGCTATATAGCTACATGTACTTCAGAAATGGCTAGTGTGACTTAGGTAATGAATATTTGATTTTATCTTAATTAATTTAAGTTAAAAAAGCTGTGTGTGGCCAGTGGCTACCATACTGAACAGTGCAATATGGAAAAGCTCTAGAAGGCATTTTGTGGCAAGTGTGATGCAGAATCATGGGAGGCTGGGAAGACTACTGAAGGTCACAGGTGAAATTACGACAACTTAATAAGTGAATATAGAGGATTTTGAAATTGTGTGTGCAACACTGTTCTAATTTTATTAAAAAAAAGATACATTAATGTATGCCTAGAAAAAAAAGAAATGGAATATATCACATGCTAATGCCATTTTGAGTAGGTCTCTGGGTGATGCAAATTGTTTGCATTTAAGTCCTAACTGAGGAACACTGGTGGCACAGTGCTTGAGTACTCAGCTGCTAACTGTAAGGTTGGTGGTTTGAATCTACCAACCACTCCATGGGAACGAGATGAGGCAGTCTGCTTCCATAACCAGTATAGCCTTGGAAACCCTATGGGGACAGTTCTACTCTGTCCTATAGGGTTGATGTGAGTCAGAATCAAGTTGGTGGCAACTGGTAATCACTAACCTAAAGGTTAGCAACTCAAAACTATCCAGCAGGGTCATGGAAGAAAGGTCTGGTGATGTGCTTCTGTAAGAAAGGAACTCAGTCCTACTCTGCAACACATGGGAATTGGTGCCAACTTGACAGCAAGAAGTTGGTGGTATCCATTTTGTTTTAATGACATTCTTAGTGGTAGGACTGTAATTTTTACTCTTCTTTTTGCCATCTGTACATTTGGTACAATGAACAGACAATGACTTTGCAATTCAAAAGAAAGCCTTTATTTTAAAAGCAAAGTTAGAAAGGATTCATTAAGAAAGATAAAAATGAAAACAAAAAACACCTTTCTATAAACGTCTTAGTAATTTTTCTCATACACTCTTTGGATTGTGAATCATAAATAAAAATAAATACATTGCTAATAAGCACAAATCCAACTACCATATATAAGTATATTTAATGGAAACAAGAGTTTCACGAAGCAGTTCTTATTCTTACTATGTTTGACGTACTTTGGTATTGTCTATTCTGTTCTCTGTCATTAAAAAAAAATTGCTGCTCACAAAACAAATGATCATAATGTGTTAGTAAATAATGACTCAGTTTTAAAAGTGCTGTCATAATGACAAATGATAGAGGAAAGTGCTTGTATTTCAATTAAGAATGTATAAATGAGATGTTGCAGATAAACCCCTGGATAAAGTTAAAAAAAATGGGTATAAAAACAATTTTAACTAATCTCTTCTAAAAATTATTTCAGTATTATACATTTTTATGTTGTTGTTGCTATTTGGTGCTCCAAGTGGATTTCCATTCATAGCAATGCCATGTGACAGAATAGAACTGCCCCATAGGGTTTGCTACGTTGGATAAGAGTTGAAATTGATTGGACAGCAATGAAGCCAGTTTGGTTTGGGTTTAATCTCTTATGAGAGCAGATTGCCAGATCTTTCACTTATGGAGCTACTTCTTTTTGTTGTTATGTGCCATAGAGTCGGACCCAACTCATAACGACTCCTCCTCAGGTTTCTGAGGCAGTATTGCTACGGAAGTAGATTGCCCAACCTTCCTTGCGAGGAGCGGCTGGTGGGTTTGAACCACCAGCCTTCTGGTTAGCAGTCAAGTGCTTTCGGTACTACTCTACCAGAGCTCCTAGGTGGGTTCAAACCAGCAATCTTTCGGATAGCAGCAGAGTACTTAACCTACATTCTAATCAACCAAGAAATCCAAACTTGTTACTATCAAGTTGATTCTGACTCGTAATGACCCTACAGGACAGAGTAGAACAGCCCAGTAGGGTTTCCAAGACTGGAGTCTTTACAGAAACAGACTGCCACATCTTCTCCTATGGACTGGCTGGTGAGTTTGAAAAGCCAACCTTTCAGTTAGTAGCCCAGAGCTTACCCAGTGTGCCACCAGAGCTCCTTTACTTCTAATAGTCATAATAAAATACTATACTACACAATATTTTTCAAGTCCTACTTATGTACAATTGATTATTATGTTCCTTCCTCTTTAATCAACAGTTTTACTTCTTCCACCTGTTAATTTCACCATTAAGATAACTGGTTTAGCTCAAGTTCTTTTACTCTGGGAGCCAAACCCTCATCAAGAGCAAAGGAATGTTAACCTTGGATATGCCGTGAGAATAAATGCACCGCAAGAAGATGATGTAAGTCATTTATTCTGTTTATTCTGATGACAATCCTTATTTGTAGATCCTTATGTCGAATGCATTTTCATTATCAAATAAAATTTTACACTGTTGTTGAAAAAAAAAAAAAAAAGAAAGAAACTACCCAAGGGCTTTTGTTTTGTTCGCTTTAGGCAGGGTCTCTCTTGAAATGGCTGTGAACTGCTACAGACTAGTGCCAGGTATAGTGTTTAGCATTAACCAGCACAGAACTTTTTAACTTTGGGACAAGTCTGTCACCCACAAAAGAAAACTTACTTTAGGTTCAGTGGATTAGATCTTGGTTTTATGTTTCCTCTAAAGTTGAGAAAAGAATGGACTGTAACAGCCAAGTATGGGAAAAGGGCAGGGTACCACATAAGAGAGACCTGGTTTGAATCCTAGTTCAGCCACTTCCTCCCTTTGTGACCTTGACAGTCACTTCTCAACACCTCAGACTTACTGTAGGTTCTTGTTAAAACTTCCAGTACAGTAGTAGCTCCCAATGTAGTAGGTGCTTAATAAAGTTTTAAAAAAGAAGTGATTATTAATATTAGCTATTCTTTAGTCAATATGAAATTCTAGAGAATCATCTGTCAAAGAGATACCACTAGTCTACTGGGAGTAGTCAAAGGGACCTTGAATCTTAAATGTAATATTTTGTTTGTTTCTATAAGAAGAATATATTTCTGTAGCATTAAAGACAAAAACCAAACCCACTGCTGCAGAGTCCTATCTGACTCATAGTGACCCCTCCTTGGGTTTCCAAGGTGGTATCACCGTGGAAGTAGATTGCCCAACCTTCCCTCTAAGGAGTGCCTGGTGGGTTTGAACCGCCAGACTTCTGGTTAGCAGTCAAATGCCTGAGGCACTATGCAACCAGAGCTCCTCCTGTAGTATTAAAGGAAGTAATTATCCTAATATTATCAACCTGTTGTTGTCAGGTTGTTTTGACTCATGGTGACTCTGTGTGTATCAGAGTAGCACTGTGCTCCATAAGGGTTTGCAGTGGCTAACTTTTTGGAAGTAGATTGCCAGGCCTTTTTTCTAAGGTGCCTCTGGTAGACTCAACCCTTCAAACTTTTGGTTAGTAGCCAAACACCTTAACTCTTTGCACCACCCAGGGATTCCACAATGTTATTCTAATGGTTTTATTTTTAATTTTGTCTAGCAAAACGTTTTCACTGCATTTCATTTGTGTCCTTTAAAGAGTGGAAGAAAATGTGTATGTGATTAAAATAGTCTCAACAAGGCTGTTCCCCTTCTATGTTTCATGACTTGTGGGTTTTATTTTTAGTATGAAACCAAGGACACTAAAAGCCAATGTGTAACGATCCTTCATAAGGGCTTTTCAGCAAGTGTGCAGACCATTTTCTGGAACAAACACTCACTCCCTGCCAGCAGCTGGGTTTCTGCAGAACTGAAAGAACCACCAGGTAAGATAGGCCTCTGAAAGTCATTTTATATTTTGGATTTTGTACATATGGGAAATTGGTAACACCTCCTTTTTCTTTCTGCTAATTTCTGTCAAGTATTCTTTCATATGGTCAATATCCCGTCTTATTTATCTAGTGCTGTTATAACAGAACTACTCTAAGTGGGTGGCTTTAAGAAACACAAGTTTTCTCATGGTTTCAGAGGCTAGAAGTCTGAATTCAGTGTGCTGGCCGGGGGGAAAGCTTTCTCTTTGTGGGCTCTAGAGGAAGGTCTTTGTTCCTTGGTGATCTTCATCTACCTTATCATCTATCTTCTACCTGTTTTTTTTTTTTTTATGATTTTTTTTTGAACATTATATTTATTTTGTTGTTGTTACTGAGGATATACACAACATGTACTGTTTAGGGTTATTGATTATATTCTAGTTGCACAACCATTCTCATCCTCCTTCTCTGAGGTTTTCCTTGCTCATTAGCATATGTTCACAGCTCCCTAAATTTCCTTTCTAACCTTTTGAGTTTCTGTTGTCACTTTCATCCCACACAGGTAATTCTCAAAAGAGCATATTGCTCAAGGCAGTTTTTTTTTTTTTTTTTTTTTTTTTTGACTAATTAAGCTAAACTATTATTTGGTTTTAAGGTAATTTCAGTGGATATCTTTGGTTTAGGGTTTAAAGATTATCTCAGAGCAATACTTTCGAGGGTTTGCCCAACCTTCATGGCTCCAGGAAGTCTGGAGTTCATAAGAATTTGAAATTCTCTTCTATATTTTCCTATTCAGTAATGGTAGCTTGGGCATCATCCACTTATGGTCTCGTGGCAAAGGAGACAGTTGTTCATGGAAGCAACTACCTACACATTTTATATCCTCTTCCTGTTGCCAACTCTCCTTCCTCCTCTTTTGCTCAAAGTTAATAAATGAAAATAGAGACCAATTACTGTGCCTTGGAAGTCTTCCTAATCTGCTCTTTTAAAACTCAAGAAAATGACTTAAAGTCTTCCAATAAGATAGCAGAACAGGCAGACAAGCTACATAGACCCTCTTCAACAAAGAAAAGAGAAACCAATTGACAGAGAGGCAGAAGATAAACCTGAAGCCCTGAGATTTGAAAGGAAGTATACAGAAGTGGATTAGTCACCAACTAGTGGAAAAACCTGAATGAAAACGGTAGTACAGAGATGGTCAGAGCTGCAGACTGCCAGCCACTTTGATGGGACTAAGAACCTGAATATTGCCAAGTGGTATTAGGACCTGAGAATTGACCTAAAGATCAGCCCTGGTCACCAAGGGCCTAAAGGACAACTGTGCTGGTGGCCTATGACTAGGAAGGGAAACAACGAGGAGGGAGATAACCTGAAGTGTGGACTTTTGGCTGCCTGGAGGGCACAGCCATTTTGATTGTTTGCAAGTGGTGGCCATTTTGGATATTTAAAGTGACTGAGGATGTAGCCATTTTGAATATTTAAAGGAGTAACCATCTTGGATATTTAAAGTAACAGCATTCTCATTTGGATTCTAGGGACCTAAGAATAGGCTCTATTTGACAACAATGGCAGGGACATATGGGAGGCTGGCAATGGGAAAGGAGACAAGTGGTGAGTGTATAAGTGCTGCCAACTAGTGAATAGAGGAGCGCAGTACCTGCTTATGTAGATAACATCCCAACAAAACAAGAAAACAAAAGTCGTGGACAAGTCACTCCAACATACAATCACCAATTAAATATAAACACAAAAACATCACAATGTCTCGGAGATAACAGAGCATCACTGTCCACACAGAGAAGCAAGATAAAGCAGGAGAAACAAGGGAGCAGGATAGAGGCCCAAAACACAACCTTGAGGAAGAAGCAGCATTGGAACTCCCTGGTAAGGAATTCAGAAGAATTATATTTAGGTACCTTCAATGGATTGAGAGACCAATCAAGGAAAACACTGATAAAATTGAGGAAAGCACAGAGAAAACTCTAGAACAATTTTAAAAACAATACAAGAACAAAATGACAAAATAAATGAAAAATTAGAAATGATACAAAATCTACAGATAGAAATCCAGAAGATTAATACTAAATTTTC